CGGAAAAAAATCATGAAGAAATCGAGACGACCGATTTGCGAGCGAGTCTTTAGAGCCTTTAGAGCTGATTCTGAGTTTTCTCTCCGAGCATACATTTTGTAAAACTTGGATATATATATATATATATATTTTTTTTCCCCCCCGAAACACGAGAGAAAGAGAAGAAAAAAGATCGTCATAGGTTCCGTCAATGCAACACAATTGTTCTTTCTTTCTTTTTTGCTCTTTTTTTTTTTGTATTATTATTTTATTATTATTATTCTTTTTTTTTTTGTAATATCGTTAAAATATTTGCTATTTGAAAGAAACAAATGAAAAAAAATATATATATATATCACCGATCTATGAATCTCTTAGTGGAACCTTTTTTCTTTTCAGTTTTCTTATTTTTATATTTAATTTTCTTTTTTATTTTCTTATTTTTTTATTTTTTTTCTTTTTTCTAATTTTTTTTTCTTTTTTTTTTTTAATTATTATTACCATTATTATTATTGATATTGCTCGGAGAATTGACTCTTAAATCGCATATACCGTTCGCGGAGAAAGGATAGCATTTTATATTCATATGTACGTACTATATATATATATTTCTATACATACATATATATATATATATAGTATACAAGAACACGTACACGATCTTATAGATCTTATATAAGCGTAATTCTAATTACAATTATGTATTAATTAATATCGATTGCCGTTTTACGCAAGACCTTTTACCTAGCGTATGGTTAGTCCAATGTAATTTTGTCTTTTAGCTATTAGTAGACCACTTTATCGTGAGAGAGAGAGAGAGAGAGAGAGAGAGAGAGAGAGAGAGAGAGAGAGAGAGAGAGAGAGAGAGAGAGAGTGAGAGAGAGAGAGAGAGAGAGAATATGTATGAGTGAGTGAATGAGTGTGTGAGTGAGTGAGAGAGAGAGAGATAGAGAGAGAATGACAACACACGTGTTAAAGTATATACAAGAAGATAGAACATATGTAAAGATTTTTTTTTCTCACGTTTTCTTATTAAAAACTTCTTTGTTTTTTGCTCCCCGTATATGCTCCTCAATTTATTATTATTATTATTATTATTATTATTATTATTATTATTATTATTATTATTATTATTATTATTATTATCATTAATTTCTTTTTCCGATTGTTCTTCAAATTTTTAAAATTATGCCATATAAAGGTAAAAATGTGCGAGAAAAGATGTCCTTAGGGATTGTATCGTGTCGCGTAATCATGTTTGACGTAGCTATAATAACTTTTTTTTTTTTTTTATAGATTCGTTGATGTCCAACGAATCGTCACGATAGATTTGATTACATAGAAGAAAGAAAAGATAAAAAAAAAAAATTAAACCAAAAGCGTTAAACGAAAGAGAAAGATAAGACGTTTGGCGAGCTTATTATTATTATTAATATTATTATTACTACTATTACTATTATTACTATTATTATTATTAATAATATTATTATTATTATATCAAAAGAGAGAGGGCCAATATCTTACTTGTCGTCGTGTATGATGATCGATAAATAATGATCTAAGTGAAGAGTGTGAAAAGAGAGAGAGAGCGAGAGAGAGAGAGAGAGAGAGAGAAAGAGAGAGAAAGAGAAAGCAAGCGAAGAAAAGAAAGAAGTAATCAATTTAGACGCTTAGTGGTCATAATATTGTAACGATAGTGGTTATGTATTAGAAAATATATTATTACATGCTCGTAATATTCACAGACACATACACATGCACTCGAAACAGAACATATATATATATACACGATCCAAGGATCTATGAGAAATAACTTCCAAGATCCTAGTTCTTCTTTTCTTTTTCTTCATTTTTCTTTGTTTTCCTTTTTTTTTTTTTTGTTCTCTTTTACACATACACACACATATATATATATATTGCAAACTTTGAATTAGAGTAGTGATAAGAAAAGAGACAAAGAGAGAGAGAGGGAGAGAGAGAGAGAGAGAGAGAACGATCAAACTTGAATGAACGATATACTAAGATTGACAATATTGTTGTTGTCGAGATATGAAAATAGAACAAAAGTTTAGAAACAAAAGACACGGTCGTCCCTTCTGTTCAGTCATATTATAATAGTATTTACAAAGAGTGTGTATGTGATTAAACGTGTATTCGATTTATTATAAATATATATATGTGTATATATATATATATATATATATATATATATATATAGCGTATATAAGTATGTAGAGGAAGAAGTAAAAAAAAAAAAAAGAAAGAAAGAAAGAAAACGGAGAGGAAGTTTGCAGGTAAAGATTGATCGAGCGTCAGCTCCCTGAAATAAAGAAAGAAATAAAATTATAAGAGTGATGAAAAGAAAAGAAAAGAAAAGAAAAGAAAAAAAAAAAGAAAAGGAATCACAAGCAAAGAGAGAAGAGAAAGAAAAGAAAAAAGAAATAAATAAAAGTAATGAAATCTTGTAAGATCGTGATCGACTGATAACGATATTTATATAATACATACATATATGAAGTGTATATATGTATACGTGAGTGCATCTTACACACACCCACACAACACGCGCGTGTGTATGTGTGTGTGTGTGTGTATAAATATATGTATGTGCGTGCGTGCGTGTATGTGTATGCATGTGCCGTGTGTTACGTGTATACGTGATGGCTGAGTGGGGTGGGTGGTGCGTTTAGAAGAAAAGAGAGAGAAGAAGAAAAAAAAAACGAAACAAAAGGCTACAACTCACGATTTTCCACAATCGACTTTTTTCTAATCTTACAATTCGCGTCAGATTTTCTTCTTAATCCTCGAGGAAAAAAGAAAAAACAAAAAAAAAAAAAAAAATAGAAAACAAAATTAATAAATACACAATCGTTTCGATCATGATCATGTCGTTGTCCTACAAGTATATGTGTGTGTGTATGCGTATATATATATATATACATCCATGTATATATATATATATATATATATAAACGATATGTATATAATCCTTTTCTTCTTCGTTCCAAATTATTATATTTATCCTCTTTGTATCTCTATGACGCGTGATTTCTTTCCTTGAGATGATTGGACATATGTTGTGTTAGAAATTTTTTCAGTCGACGTACATGTATATATATATATATACATATATATGTATAATATATATACATTATTATATATATATTATATGTTAAAGTAAAAAAAGAATTTCTTGAAAATATAGGACAATAGAAGAAAAGAGACAGAGAGAGAATGAAAAGTAATTGACAGGAATTGCATATTTTCGATGGAATTCGAACGAGTGACAATGAATACGAACGTCATAATTAATAACAGCAGAAACAACAATAACAATAATATACGTGATCGATATTTCGTTTGGATTATAAACGTGTGATCTAATGAAAAGTGATTGGAATAGAAGAAGAAAAAAAGAGAAAGAGAGAAGCATGGTTTTTTTCCCGAAATTTTTTTTTTTTTTTTTGTTAAACTTTTTTTCTGGTTTTTTTTTTCCTCGCGAAAATCAATTAATTAGCATTCTAATGTGTATCAGTTTTTCATTAACGCGAGAGAAAGAAAAAAAGGATTAAGAGAGTAACAACAACAGCAACAACAACAACAAGAACAACAACAGCAACAATAATAACAACATTAATAACAACAATGGAGGAAAAGATGTCGCGAAGCTGTACGCCGTGTGCGCTTTAAACAATACGAGATATCTTTAGCTATCCTGTATAATCTTGTTAAATAAAATTAGGCGTGTTTAATATACATAATAACGAAAAAAGAAAAAAATACAGATAAGTGAGAAAATTTCACGGGGGCCCATCTTAGAACGAGGACGCGCGAGAATTTTTTTTCTATTTTTTTTTCTCTATTTTTTTAAATACATATATATATATATATATATATATATATATATATATACATTCACCCACCCTCTTTTTTTCTTTTCTTTTATCTTTTCGTTGTTGATTTCTTTTTTTTTTTTTTTTTTTTTTTTTTTCACGTTTCTCACACATGATTATTTGCATTATTGCTTTTCTTTTATTTTCTTTCCCATTTCTTTCTATGTTTCTTTTTTCTTTTTTCCTCTTTTCATTTCGTTTCGTTCGTTTCGTTTTGTTTTGTTTTGTTTTGTTTTGTTTTGTTTTGCTCTGTTTATCGGACAAAGAGATAACGAACGAGAGAACAAATAAATAATGATCCAGGCGTTTCGCGCGTCCACGTTCACGGCACGTGTGCGTTTTATTGCAATCCCCCTTCAAAATATTTACAAAAAAGGAAAAAAAGAAAAAAAAAAAAGAAAAAGAAGAAAGAAAGAAAAAAAGGGATGAAAGAAAAAACACCATATATTATATATATATATGATATATATGTAAAATAATGTTAACTTTAGATGCAATAATTTATTTATAATTTACATATGTATAATATATATATATATATATATGTGTATGTGTGTGTGTTTGTGTGCGTATACTGATACGAGACTTAACGTTAGGAACAATAATTTATTTACTATTTACATTGTTTAAACAAATAATGTTTACTCGTCCCTGAGTGTTTTTAAACAAATATTAAAGCTCATCTAATTTCATTTTTCTCATACTTTTTACAAAAGAAAAATAAAAACGCGAGTCTTCGTATCAAACTTTCACTTCCCTTCTGTTTTTTTTTCTTTCTTCGCTTTCTTTTTTCTTTTTTTTTTTTTTTATTTCTTGTTTCATTCTTTTTTTTATTTATTTATTTTTTTTTTTTGTTCTTTTTTCCGTTGCCATCTATCTCTTTTTCGTTCGTAAGAAAAGAGAGAACGAATGTAAACGTTATAAATAATAATTAACGTTAATAATAAACGTTTATGTATGTTGGTTATAATACATATTTATGTGCATATATATGTATACATACAATACATATGTACGTACGTATGGAAAACAAAAAAAAACCGTACTCAAGATCGGAGAAACTCGTACAACGAGATGATGATGATGATGATGATGATGATGATGATGATGATCATGATGATGATGATGATGATGATGATGATCATGATGATGATGATGATGAAAGAGATGTAGAGAAAGGGAGAGAGAAAGAGAGAAGATGTATCCATCCAACCAACTTGACCCAGGCTCCTGCCCGTCTTTGGTAAGCACCATCCACTCCTTTGTAGTCCTTTTAATCGACTTTATCCCGTTTAACTGTCGACTACGAACATTTTCATTGTCACATTGTCTTGAGATGTTTGTTGTTTCCCTTTTTTTTTCTTTTTTTTTTTTTTTTTCTTTTTTCTTTTTTCTTTAAATTAATTTACAAGAATAATTTTTATTTTTAATTAAAATCTTTGTTTTATTAATTTTTCTTTTGTTTTGTCTTTTTTTATTCTTTCAATTAAATTCCTTTTTATTTATATTTTTTTTTTATTTATTTTATTATTATTATTATTATTATTATTATTATTATTATTATTATTATTATTATTATTATTATTATTATTACCTACACACAATACAGAGAAAGAGAGAGAGAGAGAGAGAGAGAGAGAACGAAAGAGAAAACACACATGATAAACAATACTTTTCATCTTTTATTTTGTTCTTTTTTTTTTTATTTTTATTTTTTTTTTTTGTCATTTCAATGGAGCACACAAACACACAAGATGTTTCTTTCGGATGTCCAAAACACAAGCCAACAATAACAACAACCACCAGAGAACATCCAAGCAATCCCCTAAGGGCTTACGTGTGTATGAGAGAAAGAGAGAAAGAAAGGAAAGTGGGGCGGGGGGGTTGGGAAGGAAATAAGGCAGCGGACAATTCAAGGAAAAAAAAATTTTTCATAAACCATTCGAGATTTTATACATGTGTATATATATATATATGTGTGTGTGTGTGTGTATGTATATATATATGGATACATATGTATCATTTCATATAATTTAGTTTTCTTCCAAAAAAAAAAAAATGAATGGAACGTTCATTGTTCTTGTTATCATTGGATGGTTCGTAGAAAATTGTTTTTTTCTTTTTTATATATATTTATATATATATATATATTTATATATATATATATATATATATATATATATATATAACAATTACGACAATTTGAAAGATTCGTGGCTTTTTTAAACACTCTTTTATCATATAAATTCAATTCCCTCGAAACGAAAAAAAAAAGAAAAATCAGGAATTTTTCAAATTGTCTTAGAGAGTATATACTGTGTGTGTGTATATATATATATATATGTGTGTATATATATACACACGCACACACACACATATATATATGTACCTATATATAGAGTAATAAAAAGGACTTGATAAAATTTATAATAAGTGATACTCGCGATAACATGATAGACATTTAAATGTGTACATATGTACCAATAGAAAATTATCACGAGTATCCTAGAATAAAATTAGGTCGTATACCTATTTTTTTTTTCTTTTATTCTTTTTCTTATTAATTTTTTTTTTTTTTTTAAATTATCGTCGTACGACTGAATTTCCCAAAACGAGAATTACTCTCTACCATTCTTTCGTGGTCCAAAAGTGAGACCTCCAAAAAAAAAAAAAATATATATATAAAAAGAAAGAAAGACGATAAAAGAGGATTCAAACAAATTCCGTCGTACTTGTGGATTAATTGAAAAAAAAAAAAACTTTGGGGGAGAGAAAGAAAAAGAAAAACGTTGTGAAAGTCGCACTTAAACTTAACCAACTTGAACTTTGTCGATGCGAAGACAAAGATAGAGAGATAGAGAGAGAGAGAGAGAGAAGTGAAAATAAAATTAAAAAGAAAGATAATAATTAAAAAAAGAAAAAAAAAAAAGGAAAGTAAATAAAAATGGGTAAAAGGGGAAAAAAAAAGAAAAATAAAGAAGAAAGGATAAAAAAAAAGAAAAAAATGCTTTTCCCCGTTAACTATACGTATGATTATGTTTCAGGATAACAATGGAAACGTCAGGACTGCCTGTACCAACGTACCACTTCATAACGCCGGACCACATCGTCAAATCACCGATTCATTGAATATCGCGGACGTTAGCCGCCACGTATGGTCGTTATCGTCGTCGAAAGGACGCGGGGCGTCGCGACGTACGCGAGGAGACTGTCCCTAGCATCTGGAAGCGTCTCACTATAGTGTGTTCGACCAGTTTGCTAATCGACACGCTTGGGATAATAAAAAAGATAAAAAATAGAGAAATAAAGAGAGAAGGGAGATTAGAGACAGAAAAAGAGGTAGAGAAAGAGAAAGAGAGAGAGAAGGGGGAGGGTTATATTATTATATGTAAGGGAAAGAAAAGAGAGAGAGAGAGAGAGAGAGAAATGCACGATCGTAGAGAGAGAGAGAGAGACAAATTAAACACTCGACACGCACGTAAAAATACGTATATACACGAGAGAGAATACACGCTATAAACACACATCCATATTACACATAACATTAATCACACGCGTTTTTTCATCATATTGTATATATATACATATATATATATGTATATGTATAGATATATGTGTATGTGTATATATATATATATATACATATGTATATATAAATATACGTAAGAAATCGAGGAAATTATACTCGATACAAGAGACAATGATGTGTATATAAAAGAGAAGCACACACGCGATTTCGTTTATTAAAAATTACGAGATACACGCGTAGTACACGAGAGTATATACACAATAAGAAGGAACAAAAAAGAAAAAAAAAAAAGAAAGAGAGAGAGAGAGAAACACGTATACACTTAAAACATATGTAGAAAGAGTGAAAGAGAGGGAGATAAGGAAAGAGACGAAGAAGACACGCACGCGCGTACACGAACACACTCGAGTGTACAAAACTGTACAAAAGATATTTAAACAAAGGTAACAAAGATGAAAATAACGAAAAAAAAAAAAGACAAAAACAAAAAAAAAAAAGTAATGAAGAAAAGAAAAAGAAAATTAAACATACACACAACAAACAATGATGTACGCCGCAGCCATAATGCGCTGCTGCCGATTGGTAAAGGGAACAAGCCAAAGATACGTTAGTTTTCATTTTTATATTTAAACAAAAAAATGATGCGAGAGAGACGGGAGAGAGATACAAGAGAGAAAGAGAGAGAGAGAAAGAGCGAAAGTGAGAGAGAGAGAGATTGAGAGAGAGAGAGAGATTGAGAGAGTTAATTAATTATTAATTATTAACTATATACGAACGCGATGATGATGCTAAAAAAATACTCTTAGGGCTGGTCGTTTTAGAATCTTTTTTTTTCTCCTCATCACCGACTCTCCGCATTGGCAATGATCGTACGTTTAAATATATAAAAAAAGAAGAAAAAAAAAAAGAAAAAAAAAAGGAAGAGGAAAAGAAAAAATGAGAGATAGGCAGACACGGAATAAGAATATCTTTAAAAATAAAATGGCGATCATCGTCGTTGCTCATCACGGAGCATCGAGGAGGAGAAAAAAAAGAATAAGAAATAAATAAATAAATAAATAAATAAATAAATAAATATCGAGACAATTTAATCGCGCGCGCGGTAATTAATTAATTAAAACTACTCGATTGATTGATTGATTGATTGATTGATCGATTGATCCGATCGATTAATTGGTAGTTTTTTTAACGTAGCTTTTGCATGCGAGACTCGATTTCAAAATTCTCGGACGAACGATAATATAAAAACCGTAATACGTACTTTTCTCCTGTTTCTTCTTCGATTTCTACTTCTACTTCTATTTCTACTTCTTCCACTTCTAATTATAAATCATAATTCTAATTCTTAATCTCGGCCCCTCTCCGGCATTTTATTTCTCTAACCTTTAAACATCGATGATCTTTGTTGTTTTATTTATTTTCGCGCGATCGAGAACGATCGAGGATCCTCCCATCAGAATTATTAATTCCAAAATAATATCGTATCTCATCTAAAGATACAATCGATAATTATTAATAATAATGAATAAAAATAATAATAATAATTATTATTATTATTATTCTTTTATTAATATTAATTAAATAATTATTTATAATTATAATAATGAATAATAATTAATTAATTAATTAATTAATAATAATAATAATAATAATAATAATAATAATAATAATAATAATAATCACAATAATAATGAGTAGTAATAATAATAATAATAATTATTATTGTTATTATTAATATAATTATTATCGATTTTTTGCGAAGTTAATCGTCGCGGAGATCCTCTACTTCCGTTTCGATTATCGTCTTTGACGTCGTCCTTACGGTGTTCTTTATCTCGACCTCCCCCTCCCTTCACCCCATCATCTATGATTCCTCATTCAAGAGAAGAAAAAGCGAAGCGACAAAAAAAAATAAATAAGAGAGAGAGAGAGAGAGAGAGAGAGAGAGAGAGAATGATCAGCGAAAAATGAAAAATAGTATCGTACAGACGCATACGCATACTTAAATGATCCAGACGATCGAAATAAAAACAAAACAAAAATATATATATATTTATATATATATATTTGTGTATAACGAAAAAAAAAGAAAGATTAAAAAAGAATGTATGGATTATTAAGGAAATAAAAACAAAACAAAAAAAATAAAAAAATAAAAAATAAAGAAACAAAAAAGACAAAAACATTGAAAGGCATTCGTCGCGATTCGTCAAAAACGTTTTACTGCTAGTCGCGCTCTTCTGTTTTGGAGGAATGAAATTATTACGTGGAATATAAATAACGATATATATATTAATATTATATATATATATATATATATTTATTATACGATTATAAAGAGATAAAGAAAGAGAGAGAGAGAGAGAGAAAATGAAAAAAAAAAGAAATGGGCAAATGAAGACATATAAAAAAACGCGCAATTAAAGGAGAAGATATATAATATATTTACCGATGAAAAGATGCGATTTCTCTCGAAGAGAAAAGAAAGAAAAAAAAAACAAGCGAAAAAAAGAAAGAGTAAGAGAAAGAAAAACTGGCCGATTATCAGGAAAGAAGACAAAAGTTCTCCTACGATTTCCGAGCATATAAAACATACAGCATCTTGTTCTTCCTTTAATCACGATTAAAATATTTCTATCCATTTTGCCGTTCGTTCATGTTCTATGAGATTTCTTTATCTTCCTTCTATTATCCTTTTAATTCACCTACTATACGATATGCAACAACGTTCTGCTGTGTAACTTCCAATTTGTGCCAAAAGAAAGAAAAAAAGGAAAAGAAAAGAAAAGAAAAAAAAAAAAAGGAAAAGAAAAGAACAACAAAAAGAATATAATCTCCGAGAAAAATGACAAAAAATTTCGTCGCTTTCTTCTTCTTCTTCTTTGAAAGTTCCCCGCGTGATTTACCACGTGTCCTATTTATCACGTGCCTACCACGTGATCCATCGTGCTTCCTTTACATCATTTTCCGCGTCGCAAGCCTTATTATTATTATTATTATTATTATTATTATTATTATTATTATTATTATTATTATTATTATTATTATTATTATTATTACTATTATTATTATTATTATTATTATTATTATTATTATTATTATTATTATTATTATTATTATTATTATTATTATTATAATTATTATTATTATTATAATTATTTTTCTTAATCTTATTCTTCGTCATTAATGAAGAAAAAGAAAACAAAAAAAAAAGAAAAGACAAAAGAAAGGAAACATTGCGTGTCTTTTCGTTTACGCGACGATAATAACGACATGTTTACTCTTTTCTTTCCCTTCTTCGTAAAGTTGTGCTTTCTAATCACAATTGTCAAGAAACGATTAATTTACTTTGGCAAATCGAATCATA